ACCTCGAGACGCTCGCGCGCCACGACGACGACCTCGAGGCCCTCGCGGAGCACGGCCGGGACCCCCGCAGCCCGAGCGCGACGCCGACGAAGCTCCGGGGCGGCCGGGGCGACGCGCTCGACGGGCCGCTCGCCGCGCCGGTGCGCGCCGCGAGCGTCGAGCGCGCGCTCGACGGCGCCGCGCGCGCGCCGGCGGAGGACGCGCGGGCCGTCGCGCCGGCGCACACGCCCTGGGCGCCCGCGCCCGTCGAGGTCGGCGACCCCTTCGCGCCCCTGGGCGCGCCCGTCCGCGTCGCGTCCATCGACTTTGAGACGCTCAAGGCCCGGGCGGCGGCGCCGGCGGCGGAGCCCGCGGCGGAGCCCGCGTCCCCTCGCCGCCGAGCGACCCGCCGCCGGAGGCCGAGGCGACGGTCGACGCCCCGGCCGCCGGCGCGATCCCGGCCGTCGCCGCCGCGCCGCCGAGCGACCCGCCGCCGGAGCCGGAGCCGGAGCCCGCCGCCGCAATCCCGGCCGTCGCCGCCGCGCCGCCGAGCGACCCGCCGCCGGAGCCGGAGCCGGAGCCCGCCGCAGCGATCCCGGCCGTCGCCGCCGCGCCGCCGCCCCCGGCGCTCGCGCCGGCGCCCCCGGCCGCCGCTCTTCCGGCGCCGGTGCGGGTGCACCTGCCGATCGCGCTGCCCCCCGCCGAGCTCGTCTCGCCGGCGCCGCCGAGCGTGCCGCCGCCCCCGGAGGAGCCCGAGCCCGCGTCGCCCGCGCCGCCGACGGTCCCGCCGCCCGCGCCGGAGCCCGAGCCCGCCGCCGCGGAGCCCGAGCCCGCGCCGCCGGCCGTCCCGCCGCCCGAGCCCGCCGTCGTGACCGAGGAGCCCGTGGCCGAGGAGCCGCCGGCGCCGCCGGCGCCGGCCGCGAGCCCCCGGGAGGGCGCGCTGCGGCGGCAGAGCAGCGGCGCCGGCGGGAAGAAGTGCGCCCACTGCGGCCAGACGCTGCCCCTCGGCAAGTTCAGCAAGAAGCAGTGGAAGGCCGGCCCGGGCGTCCGCAAGTGCAAGGACTGCGAGGACGACCACCACTTCTAGAGTCGCGCGACTAAAAGGTCCTCTCCAGCGCCGCCGTGCCAGCGGGCTCCTCGGGAGTAGTACGTGCCTGGCTCTCTGCGTCGGCCGACCGGCGACTTTGTTGTGGTAATACTCCCGGGCTTTTGTCGCCGCCGCGATTAGCTCGGTTCGCCATGGGGGGTGGCATCAATTGGGCTTATCTCTTTGGGGGCTCGAGAGCGGAGGGTCGCTGCGCGTTCGTTTTGACGGTCGTAATTCGACGCTCAGGCTGTGGATTGCAGGCCGGCGCGCAGTAACGCTCCTTCGTGGCGACGAGCTTCTGGAGTAAAGCCTTGGCCTGAAGGAGCACCAGGACGACACTCAGGACAACAACCGCGACCGTGAGGCCCGCGAGGACCGCGCCGACTCCGACCACGGACCAGCTCTCGTCCTTGGTCACCTCGGCCGAGATCAAGAGGCCGGAAAACGTGGCGAGCACGAGCACCGTGGAAGCGACGATCGCGAGAGCGTTGTCGAGGTGGTTCGAAAAGGGCCGAGCGATCGAATAGAGCGCGGACGATAGAAATGCGGTCAAGAGGCCGTAGGCGAGCTGCGTCGTGGAGCCGGGCTGGACAGTCACCGCCACGGCCGTGACAAGCAGGCGACGAACGCTCTCCGCTATTTCGAACCACCAGAACATCGGCAGGTAGTGCATCCAGAGGAAGCCGATGCTCTTCAGCGTGGAGTCGTCGCCCGCGCGACGCTGCGCGTTCTTGCTCTGCTCCGCGAGGGAAGCGCGGCCGCACCGCTCGACGGCCTCTGTCTCTTCGAGGCGGACGCGCCGCGCGCCGTCGTCGCCGAGCGAGGGGTCGATCGCGTGGCGGCGCGCGACCACCAGCGTCGTGAACAGAGCCACGATGCCGATGGGGTAGACGAAGATGCACACGATCGCGTAGGCACTGAAGGCCCTAAATTTGGACGTCTTGCAGGAAATGGAGTAGTCGCACGCGAGCAAGCTGCGACCGTCGTCGAAGGAGTCGTCGCAGGCGAACGCCTGGAATATCGACGTCGACGTGGAGCTGAAGACGAAGAAACAAAGTTTGAGGAAGAGGTCGATGCACTTGGCAGACCTGGTCCTCGAAGCCACGGCGACGATTCCGAGAGCCGCCGACGCGAGAACCGGTCCGATCGTCACGGCCAGCAGCCGGTCGTAGAACGAAAGCTTCTTCACCAGGCACTCCAGGTGGATCAACGAGAAGAGGTCGAGGTTCAGTGGATTGAACAGGCCGAGGACTTGCGTCAGCTGATCGGGCCAGTGCACGTGATAATAGATGTCTGGGAGGTACGACATCGTCTGGAAAAAAACGACGAGGATCTTGACTTTGGCCATGATCGCCTCCTCGAT